AAATATAAATATGTCCAACCTGCACATGAAAAGGTGTTCAACATCATCAACCATCAGGGAAATGTAAATCAAAACTACAAAGAGATATCACCTCACTCCCATCCCAATGGCTATAATTAAGAAGACAGGAAACGATAAGTGTTGGAGAAGATGTGGAGAGAAGGGAACCATCATACACTGCTGGTGGGAGTGCAAACTAGTGCAGCCACTATGGAAAACAGTATGGAGATTCCTCAAAAACTTATGAATAGATCTACCATATGATTCAGCTATTCCATTGCTCGGTATTTATCCAAAAATCATGAAAAGACAAATGCAGAAAGGTACATGCATCTCCATGTTCATCACAGCTCTATTCACAATAGCCAAGACTTGGAAGCAACTGAGATGACATCAAGAGACGAATGGATAAAGAAGATATAGTATATATATACAATGGAATACTAGTTGGCCACAAGAAATTGTGAAACCCTGCCATTTGTGACATCATGGTTGGAACTTAAGGGTATTACACTAAGTGAAATATTTCAGAGGGAGAAAGTCAAATATGGTATGATTTTACTCATAAGTGTAATGTAAAACCAACGACAAACAAACACATAGAGGCAGAGATTGGATTGGTAGTTACCAGAGGCGAAGGGGGGAGGCAGGAGGAGGAAAGGAGTGATTAGGCACATGTGTGTGGTAATGGATTGTAATTAGTCTTTGGGTGCTGAACATGATGTAATCTACACAGAAATGGAAACACCTAAAGTGGTGCACCTGAAATTTACATAATGTTATAAACCAATGTGACCAAAATAAAAGAAAATGATAAAAACAAAGGTGGGCAGAGGATATGAACACACATTTTTCCAAAGAAGATATATAGATGGCCAATAGGCACATGAAAAGATGTTCAGTGTCACGAATTATTAGGGAATTGCAAATCAAAACTATGAGATATCATCTTACACCTGTCAGAATGGCCACAATTAACAAGACAAAAATGAATGTTGGAGAGGATGGGGAGAAAAGAGAACCCTCAGACACTGCTGCTTGGAATGGAAACTGGTGCAGCCACTATGGAAAACAGTATGGAGATTTCCCCAAAAGTTAAAAATAGAAATACCACATAGAGCTATCCCACTACTGAATATTTATCCAAGGAACATAAAATAACAATTCAGAGATTTATTAATTATTCACAATTGCCAACATGTGGAAGCAACCCAAATGCCCATCAACAGATGAATGGATAAAGACGATGTTGTAGATACATAGATAGATAGATAGATAGATAGATAGATCAGATAGATGCCCACACTATGGTGTACAACTCAGCCATAAAAGAGACAAAATTGTGCTTTTGTGACAACATGGATGGAGCTTGAGTGTATTATGCTAAGTGAAATAAGCCAGAGAAAACATACACGTTATGATTTCACCAATATGTGGAATATAAACACATGAAAAGGAAAACAGATTGGTGGTTACCAGAGGGGAAGGACTTGGAAGAGGCAAAAAGGGGCAAAGGAGTACATATTATGGTGATGGAAAAAAACTAGACTATTAGTGGTGAGTTATGGTGTCTATACAGAAACTGATATATAACAATGTACACCTGAAATTACACGATGTTATAAGCTAATATGACCTCAATAAAATAATTAAATAAAAAACATTTTTAAAGGAAAATATGGGAGAAAGCAAAGGTGGCAAGTGTGAGTAATTTACACATTGGATGGAATACTGTTTTAATTGGATGAAGTTTACATTGTTAAATCTAGTCAATCGATGTTTCCAATACTGTTCTACTTTCCTGTGTTTTTGCAAACTTTTATTTAAAAAAGTAAAGCACAGTTCACATGTATTCCATTTTATTGACTTCCAGGGTACTCTCCCAACAGAAACAATGCCTTGACTGATAACTCTGGTAAGCGTCAAGGAAGCCCTAGTCCAGGGTGGGGAGGGAATATCTTGATGCTGTGCCTCAAAGAGAACCTGCACACTGGGTCTTGGATGATGATGAAGCTGGCCAACACATGTCAAGGACCGTGAGACAGTGGGGGACAGCAGAAGCCTTGGGGAAATGACAGGAGCTGGTCAGCCCAGCGCTTATCTCCCTAGACTTCCCCTTCTGGGCCATCATCCTCATCTACTTGGCAGGGCTCCTGGTGCTCATCACATGCCTGCTCTGCGGTCTCCTGGTAAGCAGGGTAGTGTCGTTTGGCGTCTTTCTGTTGGGTTGTAAGAGCTCTTGCTATATTATAAATATATGTGCTTTACTAGGGATATGTTTTGCAAATAGTGTCTCTCATTGGCGACTTGATGTTGGTAGCTCCTTTAGAGCTTGAATCAGTAGTGGCATTATCATCCGTCCAACTCTGAGGGGCTGACTCCCCTGTCCCAGGTGTTTCCATCAACCCAAAGGATCATGTTCAATAATGAATAATTCAGAAACATATTAACCCGCCAAAAATCTCTGATGACTAGATTTTACCCACACTCTCATACCATAGATACCCGTTCCTCAAGATCGGAAGTGATGCCACATCACCATGCCCTCAGCTTAATTTCTTTTCTCCTATCCTACCATTCCTGGAATCCATGGTCTATGACCTCAGTAATTCCCTTGGAACCATCCAAATATTCTTACTGCTCATCATAGCTGCCTTGTAAAACTTCAAGCTGAGAAGATCTGATTATTTCCCATGCCTTAGCTGCTGATGGTATTATGATTTTATGACAAAACAGGATATTTTGGGGGCTGGTCCCGTGGCAGAGTGGTTAAGTTCATGTGCTCCACTTTGGCGGCCCGGGGTTTCACTGCTTCAGATCCCAGGCATGGACATGACACTGCTAGTCAGGCCATGCTGAGGTGGTGTCCCACACAGCACAACCAGAGGTGCTCAAAACTAGAGTATACACCTATGTACTGTGGGTCTTTGGTGAGAAGGAAAAAAACCCAGGATATTTTGGCACCACTGTAAATCTAAAATCAGGATCAGACTGCAGACCCTGTGAGCTGCAGCCATTAGGACAAGCACTTGGGTTTGCTGAGAGAGAGAAGAGAACCTTTAGTGGGTGTGGGTACTAGGGTTCAAGAAGCCTCCATGACTCCTGGATAGAATCAAAGAAGGGGCCAGCCCGATGGCGCAGCGGTTAAGTTCACACGTTCCGCTTCTCAGTGTCCCGGTGTTCACTGGTTCAGATTTTGGGTGCGGACATGGCACCGCTTGGCACGCCATGCTGTGGTAGGGGTCCCACATATAAAGTAGAAGAAGATGGGCACAGATGTTAGCTCAGGGCCAGTCTTCCTCAACAAAAAGAGGAGGACTGGCAGTAGTTAGCTGAGGGCTAATTCTCCTCAAAAAAAAAAAAAGAATCAAAGAAGACGATGCAGGACACAGGAGTGATGCTTGGGTGTGACTATGCTTGGGAATGTCCGTAGGAAGATGTATGTGTCATTGGTAATGCCTTCAACAGTGCTGTTCATTCATTGATTCATCCTATATCATGGACTGCTTTCTATGTCCACCCAGGCACTATTCTCTCCTCTGGTTCTTACACTGTCAGAAGAATTAATTTTCATTTATAATATATAGGTACAGTGCTTGTAATGTGCTACGTGTTCCAAGCATTTTTCAAACATCAACTCCTTTAATTCTCTCCACGTCCTTACAAATTAGGTACACTTATCATTCTTGCCAACAACAGATAAAGAAACTGAGGCCCCGACGAGATAAGTATCTTGCCAACTACCAATATCTACGAAGTGATTGAGCTGGAATCAGAACGTAAGATGTTGGCTTCATATTCTCTGCTCTTAACCATGATATTTCCTAAGTCTTCACACCATGAAAACATTGGATCAGTGTATCCATTTCCTTGTTACACCCAGTAGCCCCACTCTTTGATCTCTGTCTGAAAAAGATATTATTTACATCAAAACTGTTGCACATACACACCAAAATGACTTCTACCAATATCCCATGTCCTGGAAAATACATAGAGAACATTTCAGAACCTTTCTTGCCCAGGCTGGGAGTGCTTCTGGGAAATCCCACTAAGAAAATCCTAAGAAATCCCACTAAAGAAATGCTCTAAGAAGCCAAGGGCAGGCTGGGAGCTGGGTCTCAGGGGAAAGGTGAGCTCAGGAGTTACCGTGGAATTACAGAATGGATGGGAGGCCTCAGCAGGAACTGACTTCAGGATCTGGTGGTGTTTGAAACTGGGTGCTAATTTTCTGGCAGTGGGAGTAGGGGCTGATGCTGCATTACAGGAAGAGGGAATGGCTCCTGGTGTTCTTGGGGAAACTAGACTCAGGAAATAGGGAATGAAGTTTCCTTTCACAATGGATTTGTGACAGGAGGCACTCTGTACCTGATTTGTGGTGGGAGTTTGCCCATAGCCAAGTCTAGGCAGGCCCCTGAGACCTTCTGTCCTGTCCCTGGGGCAATGTCTTTGCAGAGATGCACACAGGAGATGGCCAAAGAGATGGCAGATGGCTTCAGTTTCTCCATCTCCCTGGACAGAGGGCAGATGCAACAGGCCACCAACAATGACCAGGGCTGGTCTGAGGTGACTGGGCACAGAAGGGTCTCCTAATCCAGGACCCTGAGATGGTGCCACTGACAGTATGTCCCTCCTGGTCCCAGTCAGCCTGAAGATGAGTCCACTTTTTATCCAAACGAGGCCTGCAGGATGCATGCTCTCCAGGTAGCTGTGATAGAGAAGCTGTCAGAGTCCATGGTCCCAGCCTTCCTGGGTAGAATCATCTGCAACATCACCAACTTTGTGTGCAACTACTCAGCCTTCAGCACATTCCACCAGGTCCTGGACCAGCTGTTTACTAAGTGAGTGCCTGCCTCATCCTCAGCATTGTGGTGACTCTGCCCATTGCCAGCTGTAAGTTTTGGGAATGTCAGCACATCTCTCTGAGCCTCAGTTTGGCCTTGTGAAAAGTGGGGTGGGAGACAATGAACATCATACGGTTCTCCCATGGATGAATGAAATCAGTCATGGCAAGTGGTTCCTGGTGCCTGGCTTTACAGAGAGGGCTGTGGGACAGGCTGTGGTTCCTCATGGTGATTAACTTCTCTGTCTCCCATAAAACTTACTCTTCCTCTTTCATCACTGACTTGTGGCCTTTCTGAGTTTGGAAAAGTACCTGGAGAGCACACTGTCAAGCAGTTTGAGATTCCATCCAGCTTGTCCTGGTCCTTGCCCTTCACGTAGCCAATGAGGGATTTCTGAGGCAGCAAAGGGGCCCCAGGACCACTCAGATACCTGGAATGGTTACAGTTGTAGTTCACTCAACAATGTGTATTAAACAACTACTCCATATTAAACTTCTGGAGACACTAAGCGTAACTCAGTGAATGAAGCAGACACCCTGTCTGGGCCTCAATTCTAGTCAGAGAGACAGTCACTCTTGACATCATTAATGGGTCCCTTCCACCATACATCCTGTGTGACATCCTCATATGCTCTTGGGCATCTGGAGGCATCTTCCCCCATTGTGAGTGGGATGGACCACAGACCCACCTAAATAAGTGAGTGGTCTATGGGTCCAGAAGGAGGGTTTCCTGTCTCTAGCAGAGAGGGTAGGGGAAGAACATGGGGGCCGTGGCTCTGCCAGGCCTGGAAGAACACTGTGTCTCAATTATATTTTGATTCCCCTTGGAGGGTTAAGTTCTGGTAGCTTCTTCTCAAAGAGGACAGGAGTATAAGAGAGCTTTGTATGGGTCTCAGGCCCCCTGAGAACCAGAAGGGAGTCTGGGCTGAGTTGTCCCCTAGAGACCCATCACCACCAGAGTCCCAGCTCCTTTGGCCACCCTTTCTCCAAATCCACCCCTTGTGACCACCACCATCAGGTCCAGAGCAGGAGGTGCGTGAGCAAGCTGCTCACAAATCTGCCTGACTCTTCATTCCATTAACCCACATGCATGGAGAGCTGGGGTGGACGTTGGGCCCTTTGGGAGAAGAGTATCAGTGGGAACAAGAGACTGCCACAGACTCTGTGTTAAACCTGCTGCAGGAGCAGGCCTGCCACTGCCAGGACAGCCAGGCAGGGTTCAAGGCTGGGATGGGGCTTTCCCCTGGAAGGGATGGAGCAGGCACAAGGGTCCCAGTCCAAATGAGAGTGCCTTAGGACAGCAATGTGGAAGGAAAGGCCAGGCCTCTGACCCTATGGCCCATCTGCCTTCCCCCAGTGCTATCTATTTGATGTTGGGAAGCTGTCTGGACCAAGGGCAAGATTGCAGGGAGCCCCTGCAGTTTCCCTGTTTGACGGTGAAGCTGGCCACTGTTCACATCATATTTGGTGGCTCAGACCTGGAGGGCCATGCTTGCCTTCTGCCAGACCACCTGGAGCATCTCAAGGCCACTGAGGCCGAACAGAAAGGTGAGGGGACTGCTTTCTGGGAAAACTGCCTGTGCTGAGGTTCATGGGCTGGAGTTCTCTTAAAGGCAGTGGAGTCTTTCCTGTTTTGGGAAAGGCACAGGAACTGTCAAGTGTGTGGGTGAAACTTACTCTTTATCCTGCTCCAGAGCCAGCTCCAAAGCTCCTGTCACTTCCAGAGCCAGAGCCAGTGCCAGTCCCCGGGCTAGAGCCAGCTGCATCTCCAGTCTCACCACCCGTGGTAGAGCTGGAGCCAGCATCCCCTGAATTGGCTGCTCCAGGACGAGAGCAAGGGCCACCATTAAAGGCAGCCCCAGCACCAGCTCCTGCACTGGAGCCCACTGGACGCTGTGCTCTACTGAGACTTCCAGTTCCATCTGCACCAGTCACAAGCCCACCAGATCCAGCCCCAGAGCCCACCTGCCCCTGGGCCATGACCACCAAGGACCAGCTGTGGGAAGAGAAGCCGAACCTCTTGGACCACCTTCCTCAGCTTGTGGTAGAGCAGCTGACAAGTATGGCTGCAGTGAGCAGCGGGGCTCACAGGGCGGTTGGTCCCTGCCTTCCTGGTGCCATGAGCCACCCCATACCTGCCATTCCCTGCTCACGATTCCGATGATCTGGGTTCAAATCCCTGCTCCCTCCCTTACCAACAATGTGACCTCGGCAGCTTTATTTCCCCCAAGCCTTCGCTGTCCCCTAGCGAATGGGGACAGTAGAGATGGCCACTCAGAGCACCTGCTGCACAGGGTGGCTGTGCCGATGAAAGAGGTGGGAGAGAGTGGAAGGTTGGCAGACTCTCGCCCTTTGGTGGGGGATGGGAACTCAGTGAGATGCTGCCAGGTCCTTGGGTGGATCCCCCATCTGCGCAGGTGGCCCGGACAATCTCAGCACTTATCAGGCAGGTGATGTGTATTGACTCCAGCGGAGACAGTCTAACAAAGCTGCTGGTTGTCCCTGCCTTGGGGGAATGTGCATGGGAATGGGGAGTGGGATCCGAGGGGGCTGAGATGGGTGGATGATGGCCCTTCTGGTGGGCATGTGTGGGCTGTGTTCTGGAGCTTAGAGGAAGTGAGACAAGGCTGAGAGCAAATGTCCCCTCCCTTCCCCACAGTACTGTGTCTGGGGTCATCCTGGACTGAGTGCATTCAGTGGACACAGCCAAACCCAGGGACTCCCATAAGCCTCAAGCCACATGCTCTGCTTCCTGAGCTCCAGCTCTGATCTCACCCTGCCTGGGCCTATGGAGGACTGTGGATGCCAAGCTGGGGTGCAGCAGGGCTGGGTGATACTCTGAATCTTCTTCAGGAGCTGTTTAATACATTGGTGCCCGCCCACTGCCTCGGCTCCATCTGGTCTGAGTGCAACAACAGGGAACTCGAGTACCTCGCACCCACTGTCCGTGACACTGTGATGCATGACAACACCATGGCCAATTGCATCCTTGTCACTTGCCTTGGGGACCCGAGCATGACAGCGCAGGACAGGGCCAGGGTGGTGGAGCTCTGGGTCTGTGTGGCTGAGGTAAGTCATGGCAGGCCATGTCTGGAGTTGTGGGAATTGCCTCTTGTTTCTCAGCTCTCAGGATTGAAGCCTGGGGTCTGAGTCCCTGGACTGTCCCTTGGCCCTCCTCCCAGGGCCACACTGACTTTGACTTGAGGTCCCAGTGTGGACAAGCTCACTTCCTTCCTTGTGTTGAGCTACAAACCCTTGTGCCTGGCAGTGTTACTCATCAGGTGCCACGTGTGCCTGCCCTGGCTTCCCTGGGCATCTGTCTCCTCCAGGACAGGAGAAGTCTGTGAGGGGACAGAAGCCAGAGGCAGCAGAGCTCCAGCTCCCCCTCATGGCTCCATCTCTTCCCTTTCCCAGGAGTGCCGAGACCTGGGAAACTTCTCTTCCCTCCACACCATCCTTTCTGCCCTGCAGAGCACTGCCATTACCCATCTCCAAGAGACCTGGGGACAAGTTTCCAGGTGGCTAGGCTGCTGTCCAGCCAGACACCATGAGGGCGAGGTGGACCAGGCAGCCTGCTTTGGGCTGGCATGTCCCCCAAATTCAGCTGAGACCACCTGGGAGCCAGCGAACACCGGGCACAGGGACTGACCTGGGTGCTGGGTCTCTGAGTCTCTCAGGGCCCTTAGGCCAGCAGTTCTGCCCCAAAGATTCATTTCCTTCAAGACCGCATCCTGGCTTGAGCCCAGGTGGAGATTTTCAAGTGTTTCCTTTGCAGCAACAGAAGTCTTTATGCAGCTGAAACCAACACTGTTCCAAAGAGATCTGTTTGGGACATATGGGAATGCAGGCCTCAGGGGACAAGAGGAGAGGCCCCTCCGCAGTCCCATGGGGACCTTAGAGCTCAGAGCACCCCAGTGAATTCCTCATCCAGGCCCCAGGCAGTTTGGATCTGCTGGGTTCTCAAATAAAAGGGATTACCCTTCAGCCATCCCACAGTTTTTCTTGCTTTCTTTCTTTCTTTCCCAACCCCACGAGGAGAGTTCTCGAGCCTGGAAGAAGTGGTGCAGTGAAGCGCGTGAGCAGGGAGCTGCTCCTGCAGGTAACCTGGAGGCTGGAGATCTGGAAGGAGGCCAGAAGGAGAGGGGAGGGGAACATCCTGAGGGGATCCTAGGAGGTGAGGCTATGGCAAGGCTCCGCCCAGGCTGGGGGTCAGAGAGCCCTGTGAGGGTGGGGCAGGCCGGAGCCACTCGGCCAGGCCCCTCAAGACACCCTGGCCTCTCCCTCCCTGTCTGTTCAGCTGGGGTCTGGACAAACCCTGGGTGTCCAGAGGTCGGGGTCTTCATCAGATTTGGAGCTGGGGGTGGGGTGAAGGCAGCGGGGACAGGGCCTCTGGCTGGGATGAGGGACAGCCTCTCCTCAGTGGGTCCTTGAGCCAGTCACTGCCCCTCTGGGGGCCTGGGTCTCCTCCTCTGGGAAGTGGAGGGAAATGATCAGTGGTGTGGGCCTCCCAGCGGGGTGATACTGTCCAAGGGAGGACAGGAATGTGAGGAGATTTGTGCTGGCTCCTCCTTAAGAGGTGAGGGAAGAACAGAGATGACACGCAGATGACCCTGAATCCTCAGGAGACTCCTGGAAGCAGGTGACATTCTCCTCACATTTTTCAGATGAGGAAAGATGTCCAGGGAGGCCTGGGCAGGCCCAAGGTCACACAGGAGTGAGTCCTGGAGCCGGGACTGGTCTAGAATCAGAGCACCCTGGAGGAGGGAGCAGCAGAGGCAGCAGGGCACTGGAGCCGATGGCCAAGGTCTGAGGTCAGGGGCCTTGGGGGACATGTGGAGGGGAATATGGGCACACTGACCATGTCCTCGGCCCCAACAGGAGGTGACCTCCATGTTAGTGACTGCAGAGAGGGCCCGCCAGGGAGTCCAGGAGAGGCAGGGGCAGCAGGTGAGGGTGCCTGTGGGGGAGGGTCCCAGGAGTCAGAGGAGAGGGGTCTCCCCCTCCAGCTGGAGACCTCCCTCAGGAGAGGGGTCTTCCTCCTCCAGTGCATCTGCTGTGGCCACAGAGCATGATCTGCCTGCAATAGCAGTGAGCAGGAGGAGGCCTGGAAGCACTGGCAACAGGACAGATTTGGGGTGGGGAGGGGCAGGGGCCACAACCCCTGGGATGGGCCAACAGCCAGCCCTGGGACTAGACTGGTGGAGTTTGGTGCTCCTGGAGGGGAGGGGAGGAGGGAATTGTGTGTGTTGGGGTGTCCTGAGGATCCTAGGCTGCTCTGTGTGTGAGTGTGGGGTGGGCAGGGGGCTGGGGTGAGGGGTTTCAGAGGAGGGTTCATGGGGGCACCTGAGAGCTGGAGCTCATCACCATGCCCACCCCGATGGCTGCACAGGGTGTCGTCCCCTCCCTGGTGACATTCTTCAGTTCCCTGGAGCTGCTGGACGCTATGATGCAGGATTATGTGGAGATGAGTGAGCCTGGAGGTGGGTCCGGGGGCTCAGTCTCCTGAGGGCTGGGAGTAGAGAGTCCTTCCCTGAGCCCTGAACTCTCTGCATTTGGCAAAGGTCCTCTCAGCAGAGCCTCCAACCTTGTATGGGAGTCGGGGCGTCAGGCCCATCTCCCCAGTGAGTGATGCAGGCTCTGCAGAAGCCACCGTCCAGGTTCCCTGGGCTGCTGAGGCTCAGAGCTGCCTGACTGCGTGGCCGCAGGAGGTGGTGTCTGAGCTGGACTCAGCCTCTCCCTCTGGCTCTGCCAATTAGGGAAGAGAAGTTGGGCCCCTCCCAGTCAGGAAGCACATCAGTGGCTGAGCTGTCCCTTCCTGCCTGAGGCCTCAGTCTCCCCCTGTCTCATCAGAGAGGGTTGGGTTACAAGTTCTCTTGCCTCAGTTGCTCTGTGCCCCTGCTCTGGAGCCCAGAGACTGGCCCAGGTCCAAGTCCTGTCTCTGGAAGGGTCTGCCCACTGGCAGCAGTGCAACATTGGAAGAGGTGTGGACAGGGGCTAGTGCTGGTGTAAGGGGGCTGTTTCTGATGGACTGTGGCTGTCTGTCTTCCAGAGGATGTGCTGAACTGTCAGAAATGGAATGAGGTAAGCGACTGCAGCCTCACATTGGGGAGGCTGGGGGTGTGGAAATCAGAGACACCCCCCCGTGGGCAGGACTCCCTCTGGCCCAATCCCCAGGGTCAGACATTTATTTGTAGAGTTTGATATACAGAGCTGGGGATCCTATGGCATTGGTGGGTGGGGGTAGGGCTGGCATCAAAGACACCTTCCTGGAGAAGGAGTTATTTCGGGCCAAGTGTGAGAGGAGGCAAGTCCTGACTGGAATTGCAGGGAGGCAGGGTTCCCAAGTGGGCAAAGGCCCCAGACTGGTTCCTTGTCCCCCTCGTCACCCCCTCCAAGAGCCCTGCAGGAACCCCGACTCAGGTCCTGTGTGCATCCTGTGCTTGCTTTGTCCTAGCAATTCAAACTGATGGAGGAGATCGAGCTGCTCCAGGAGGCTGCAAATCTGTACACCGTGCAGCCTGACAAGCACTTTGGGGCCTGGTTCCAGGCCATGGAGCCCCTGAGTGAGGAGGAGGAGAGGTGAGGGAGGTCAGGAGTTGGGAGAGGGCAGGGCAGACTCTCTCTGCTGACCAGCTCCAGAGCCCATGGCCCTGGCTCCCTGGTCAGCCTCAGATCTGGTTGCATGGCGAACCCTGGGACCCTTGGACTCCAGCTGCTGGCAGGTTCCAGGATGCACATGTGATGTGTGGCTCCTGAGAGCTTCCAGCTCTACTCTGTCCTGTAGCTACAGCCTGTCCTGCCAGCTGGAGCCCAGATACCACTGGGCCAGAAAGATTCGACTCTTCTTCAAAGACAAGAAGAACAGCTCAGGTAAGAGTGTGTGTCTGCACCGGCAGTGGCTGAATCCACAGGCTCAGGAAACATTCAGGCTGAGCATGGGCCTGGGGAGGCAGACAGCTGGCCCTGGGTCCCAACTCCACTGCTGAGCAGTCCTGTCCTGGGCAATTGCACTCATGTTTCTCGGACTGGTTTCCTCCTCTGTGAAATGGGTGATGTTAAATATCAGCCCCTGTGTCAGGGACAGATGGGGTCCTGTTGGCTGTCTGACCACTCAGCACAGGGCTGGAGCACAGAGCAGAGTGGGGGCAGGGAGGGGTGTGTGCTGTGGGTCCAGGGCAGGCCCCTCAAGAAATGCCTCTCTTTCTCC